AAGGTCTTTGATAGAACCTGGAGCTTCTTACCAATTTGGCTAGACTGTCTAGCCAGCAAGCCCCAGTCATTCTGTCTTCACCTTCCAGGGTTGGGATTACACATACATGCTGCTGGGGGAAGCCTTTTAAAAACAGGTTTCAATCAGTGCTTTAAGAATTTCATAGCTGCAGACTATATATGTGTTCAGCTTTCTTACGTGGGTGCTGGGGATCGAATTCAGGCTCTTATGCTTGTATGACAAGCACTTTTTCAAGTAATTAGGTGTTCTGGCCAAGTGGGAGGTACAAAGAGAATTGATACAAAACCTTTGCTCTCAAGGAGCCTGCAGCTGAGCTGGAGGAAGAGCCAGCACCACCAGGCACCACAGCAATGGCCTCAATTGTCTGCCATCTCACGTACTTTATAACAGCCCCGTGGGGCTCGTTAAAGGTTAAGAAAGAGATTGAGGCAACAGAGTTGGTGTGAAGTCAGAGTCTTTGTCCGACGGAAAGAAGTGTACCTTTAGTCATCAGACAGATTGTCTCAGCTGTGACCGGTGATTTAAAAAAATAGAGTCAGGGAGACTGTGTATTTAAACTTTCTCCTTTCCGGGTCTCCTGGACCCATAGAATCTGGCTTTTGACTATAATATCCACTGAAAACAGTCCTGCTTGGGTCCTCAGTGCAGGACCTGGCCAGGTCAATACCTTCCCCCCAGGTCATACCTTGTCCACAGCGTGAACAGGTTCCAGCCTTCCTCTTTGAACATGGTCTCTGGTCTCTACCCACTCTTCTCTTCCTTGCCTTACTGCCCTCCTCTCTGGTTTCATCCTTTGGTCTATTACAGATGTTTCTGTCATCTTTTCTGGACACCCTTCTCCACACACTGTCACTGGGAGACATCATCCTATCCTGGACATTGAGTCTGCATAGCCACCTACCAAAAACATTTATTTTAATTAAACAAAATAAAATAAAATAATATTATTTTCCTTCTTCCCTTTATTCCCATTCAACTCATCCCACATCCTTCTCTGCTTCCTCTAAAATTCATGGCCTCTTTTTGTTTTCACATACACACACATCCCCAAATATGTAAATTCAACCTTCTCAGTCATTTGACGTTACTTGTGAGTATATGATTTCAGGGCTGACCATTTGGTATTGCTGACCAGGTATGAGGCTCATCCTTGGAAAAGACTGTTTCTCCTATCCTCCTAATTCTTTAGGTGCCTAAAGAATGCTTCATCTGTGGGTGGGGCCTGTGAGATTTCCTCTATCTGTGTTAGTATATCTGCTGCTGTCATCCTTGTTTGGGTGTTGGTTAGGCAGCCACATTATTGGGTATCAAGGGTGAAGCTTCCCTTTCATTTCTAGGAGACAGCCTGACAGCAGATTTCCTGGTCCTCTGGCTCTTAGAATCAGCCTCTCCACCACATCTTCCGAAATGTTCCCTGAGCCTTCAGTGCAAGAGTCATGCTGCAGAGGTATCAACTGGGGTTTAACACCCCACGATCACTTGTGTCCTGTACTTTGACCAGTTGTGGGTTTTTTTGTAATGGCATCCATCTGTTGCAAAGGTAAGTTCATTTGATGAGAAATGAGAGCTACAAGGATAAATACAAGGCATAGGGATAAATATTTAGAATCCAGATGCCCATCTTTGCTTATATGTAGTTCAAAGCTGGGTAAACTCATAGAAAACCCATAGGATACCACTGGCTTGTCCCAGTGGCTGCTGGTCCCCTCTGCCGGGGACAAGCGTGGCAAATGCTGTGTGCACAAGCTGAATCGTGGGACTCACCACTAAGTGTCTACCACTGGAGCATGACTGCTGTGTCCTTGCAGCAGTTCCCGAGTTTTTTCTGCCCACCTCTTGTGCAGTCCAAGCTTCTATCCCTGCTCCTGGAACGTTTTTCCATACCTAGTCCCTTTCCTTTCTTATCTGGCTGCCGTCGAGGCTCATGGGAAATGCAATCAGCTCAGAACCCCTGATTCTCAGAAGTCTTCGATGGCTGTCCCTGAGCTCTGGAGATAAGGCCTCCATTCTTGGCATGCCTCTCAAATTTCCAGTCTCAACCTCCCTTTCTTTTCCCTCCTCAACCTCACTTATTCCTGCTGTCCCTGGTTTTGTACCCCAACCAGAATGACACAAGGGAGCAGATGTACCCTCCTTCTTTCTATCCTTTCTCATCCTCCTTATTCTTAGGGTTTTTTTTACAGTCACATCTTCAACAGGCCCTCCTGCTGTCCTGTGTGAATTGGAGCCCCCCTCCTGCATGTTCACGGCTGCTATACACAGTTGCTCTCTGACACACCCAAGTCTTCTCTCTACAATCCCCACCGAGATGAAATGGTTGAGCGGCCTGGCCTTGCTGCTATGCACTGGAGCTGGACTCTTGTGTTTTTTAGCACTAGAAAACATTTCCTGAAATCAAGGGATGGGAAGTCCAGCAGACAGATCTGCCCATGCTCTTTTAAGAATGTGGATAACTCTAAGTGGAGATACTGAATGTTGATGATACGACATCCCTTCTCTTCTTTTTCCTACAGAATTTCAATTCTACGTCCCCCAGGGGGAGCCAGCATCTGTGTGAAGCTTAAGTTTTAGCATCCTTTGCAGAGGGTTACTCCATGGTCCAGCCAGGAAGATTTAAGGCAAAGTGAATGAGAAGTTTGCTTCTCTGCGGTTAGACTGGCCCCTTCCTGTTTTTCCTGCTTCCACTGCTTTCCTGAAATAAAGATAAGGAGGCTGGAGGAGAAGCAGCCATCTTGTGACCATGAGCTAGCCCTAGTCACGGGAGCCACACTAATGTCATGACTCCCTGACTACCAACCAGCAAACCTCTTACGAAAGACTGTCTGGTTTAAAGTGAGTCCACCTCCCCAGATCCTGGTGCTTAGACAAAAGCCAGCTGCTCATTCCACTTATAAACCTGGTGTTTGAGCCATGCTCCCTCTTTTCTGTCCTTCCTTCTCACTCCCTTTGTCTTGCTCTCCTGGTCCCCACCCGGCCTCTCCCTCTCTCTAGGTTTCGCCATCTCCCTGCTCTGCTCCTGCTTCTCTCGTGCATGGGTCCGGTGTGCTGGCCATGTTCCGTCTACTACTTTCTCCCTCTGCTCCAGACTCTTCCAGATGCCTCCGGCTGTTCTCTCCCTCGCACCTGCAATGAAAACCTTCCCCTCAACCGTACCACGGAGTGGTCATGCCATCAGTTCATACACAGACAAGTGAGTCTCACCGGAAGTCACTGTGGTTTGACTCCACTGCATTTAGCCGAACTCTACTGATAGCATTTCTGAATAAACATTTCCTTTGGAGGTGACACACTGGCCCTGATGCTGGGCAGAGGGCAAAGTTAAAGGAGCAGGACAACAGACACAGGAGAGGTGGACTCTCCCTGAGAGTCTACTAGAAGAGCATAGGGAAGTCACATGTTGAGGAAGAAATTCTGATCACCGATGCCCCGGTGTGAAATGAGCTTGCTGTACTAGATAACTTTAACAGCGCTCGAGGCCTGAGAGATAGAGATCAGTAAAGTGCCTACCTTGCAAGCAGGAGGGCCTGAATTCAACCTAAGAAAACAAGTCAGGGCAGCATGCACTTTTATAATCCCAGGCCTGGGAAAGCAGAGACAGGCAGATCCCTCGGTGACCTCCAGGCCAGTGAGGTCCCGTTTCAAAAACAAGATGGATGACCTCTGAGAAACACCTGGGAGCATCCTCTGGCTGCCACCCCCCCTCCACTCCACACACAAGAGCCCTCCATGGCTGGGCTTCCGCGTCTGGCAAAACTGAGTTCACCATCTAGTTCTATCACTTCCTGCGTCGTCCTGGTCGCATTCTAACTGACCCCGTTAGCATCCTCACCTATAGAGTCCAGATCATCAGAGCACCTATCCCTTAGATCTAAACGCTGGTGGGTCGTGAAATCTGCAGAGCATGGGGCCCACCCACCGTGGCTGTGGCCTTCTGTGCCCAGTGTCCACTGAGTGTCAGCTCCAACTCTGGACAGCCATGCCTGTGTTCTTCCTTCCCAGGGACAGGACAGAAATCAAGCTGCCGTAGTTCTGAGAAGTCTGGCTGTATGCACCTCTCCCTGCGGGTGAAGGAAGCAACCAGAAGTTATTCACTGTCCAACAGCCTCTTCATGTTGCTGTGTCCAGGGTCCTTGGCCTGCGGGTGCACAGAAAGACGTCTCCAGACCCCTGGGTCAGACAGGAATTGAAAAGGTATCTACCTGGCCTTGGATAGAAATAAGGCAATGTGCTCCATCTTTCACCCACGCTGGATCTCTGTGGCGTTCCCCAGGGGAAAGGCTCACCTTCTTTCTCTCTCTAAGATCCCAGTCCAGGAGAGGAAAGAATCTTGCTCACCCTAACCTTGCAGAGGTCAGCGCGGGGGCAATCCCGTCCGACCAGCGCTTCCCATTGTCCCAACCCCCCAGCACTCCAGGCCAGACCCGCTGACACTCGACAGCGCCTGCAGTTTACCTTGGCTCGGTTCCAGTGAGTTGGAGCCCAGCCCTGGGGCGGCCCCCACCTCTCCACCTCGTTACGCCTTTCCACCCTCCTCTGCAGCAGCGCAAAGAGCAGTTTAAATATAAATCAGTCCTCAGCACAAACAGAATTTGGTCAGCGAGTCTCAGAGCCATCACCGGAACCGAGGGCCCAGGTTTGCGGACGAGTGCAGACTCGCAGAGCCGGGACCCCAAGAGCCAGTGAGACTCTTCCATTCCCTTCCACCGCCCTGAGACCGGCGCCCCTCTAGTCCCCTCCAGCTCCCCACCCCTTCCTTAGTGCCACGCCCACACTCTGCCCCACTAAGTTCCAGGTCTCTGCACTGGCCTGCAGCCTCCTGTCTCCTCCATCCGCAGCCGCCCCTTGCCACGGGAGCGCGCTGTCTCCCCGGCACGCCACCGCCTAGGCAGCCAGGGTTCACCCGGGTCGAGTCCCAGAGCCTCTGGGCTTCCGCAGCCGAGACGCCACGGCCCAAGACACCTGCCCGAGGAGGCGGCAGCGGCTGGGCGGGGGCTTGCAGCACCTCTGACACCCGAGGAAGAGAGGGAGGAGGGAGAGCGCATTTCATCATCGGCCGCCACTTATAAAAACTTCTGGGCGCTCACTCCCTGGCTCAATCTCCGCGCCACGCTCCTCATCGCCGGGCTATCCACGCCTGCAGCCCCGAAGAGCCAGAGTCCTGCTTATCGCCGCCACGGCCCGGCCAGGGGACAACGCCACTGTCACCATGGGACTCCTGCCCAATCCCGGAGCGCGCCAGGGCAGCGGCACCTCCTCGGTCCCAGCCACAGGCTGCTCTCGCTCGATCTTCAGCAACATTAAGGTGAGTAGAGTTCCCGGGAGTGGCAAGGCTGCAATGCAACCCAAAAGTCGATGAGGACAGTCCGGGAGCTCGGGTGCATACACCAGGCTCCTTTCTCTGTCTGGTGCCACATACTTGGGGCCTAGCTGGGGTGTAAGAGTCAGTCTCTTTCTCTCTCTCAATGTGTGTGTGTGTGTGTGTGTGTGTGTGTGTGTGTGTGTGTACACTCTCGTGGGTACAATAACCGGAATAGATGTACCTTCTCACAGAGGGAGCTGTCCTGTTCTTCCACGGAGAACGAAGACCTCCAGTGAAGTCTTTTGGGTCTCTGCTGTGGGTATGCTCTGTCTTGATGAGTGGATGCAGACGAGCTTGGCTGGCACCCTGTGGGCAACAGGCTGTAGGCTCCCTGAGATGCTGCAAGTCAGAATGCACGCGCGCACGCGCGCAAGCATGCACGCAGGTGGTCCCGGGTGGATGGCAAGAAGCCTGCATTCTGTGGCTGGATTTTCATCTTGACGGTAGTATTGCTATCTGGCCGCAAGGCTCCCACCAGTTTTGAGAATTTCCCCTATTCTCTGGTCTGGAAATGGCCTCAAGGAAACAGCGGTCGCTTGAGGTTTATTAAGAAAGGTCACAGGAGGTACCTGTGCCTTGAGAGTTATGGGTAATTAGGGAAGAAAAAAAAGGGGGTATTGAAAACTGTTAGGATGAGAATGCCTTCTTTGATAAGAGTCAGAAGTGGGGTCCACTTTTCCATGGGTATAGGGGAACCTGGGATGGTTGAATGCTAGCTCACGGCATTTAGGGGAGAGGTTCCTGAAGACGGTACCTCCTGGGAGGGGCTAGATGATTCTGTGGAAAGTAGGAAGCTACAGAGCCTTGAGGTCAGGCAAGAGAATGATGCTGAGAGATTATTTCCCACATTCCTACCTTAGAAGCAACGAGTGCTACAAGTACGGGGTGCCCAGACCTGGCATGAAAGCATTGGGGCAGTGTGGGCAGGTTATCTGCGTCTAACAGAAAGAGAGTCAGAGGTCTGAGAGGATGCCACCTACATGGTTTACTTCAGGTTGTTACTGGTGGAACTGCAGTTCCTTCTGGGGATTCCTGCTTCTCGCATCCCCACCCCCACCCCATCACAGTTTTAAAAGGTTGCGTCTTTCTTCTATTGGAATATTACCAGCACAGAAAATTGGAGATAACTGAAAACAGCCCTCAGATCTCTCCCGCTTTAGCCAGACCTGAATGGAACACCATGGATCACTTTGGTTCTACCAGTTTAGAGGGATCTGGAGAATTGTGGAGATTCCTTTTTAACCTAGGAATTAGAAGGAAAGGGTGTGTGCAAGGGATGGGTGATCTCAAAGGAATGGGTTATGGCAGGATGGGAGGGAGGGCTTTCTTAGGCAGGAGAGGTAGCTGTCCCAGGATTCTTGACAGTAAGGGTGATAAGAATGAAGCGGTACCACATAGAGCTACCTTCAATCTCTAGAAAGAAGTGGATGGCAGCCATTTCTCTAAAAACATATTAAAGTAAGATAAAAACCATGTTCATATGCCCAAGATTCATGCCTGAGACTTGGACCCAGGCCAGCTGGCCTCTGAACGGAGTTTAAGAGCTCTTTTCAGGCAGGAGTTCTTCTTGATTCTTTTAAAGCAGCATCTCGGTTGGTGGATGACAAGTATCAGATGGCGGGCAGTTTGGAGAGACTCCACCTTGGCTCCACTATAAATCAAAGTCAGGTTCCTCCAGGAGACCCCGAGTGGACCTAGAGGGGAGAGTCCTAGCTCCTTCCTGGTGACGAGATGGCCTGGGGCTGTGCTGTTTGAAGGAGATTTCCTCCTCTTGCTAACAGGTTGACTGCCTTACATTTTCCCAGTAGGGGAAAGGTGGCGCAAGTGACATGGGGGAAGGTGACCAGAGCTATCCAGCCCAAGGACTTGTCATTTTGCTAGAATCTTTGTCACCAGGATGGACTATCAAGAGCGGATGTTGCCGTAAACGCATGTTGCTCGTGGTTCAGGGAAGGAGCAAAGTCAGAGGATTCAGGTCCACGGCCCGTCCCAGCTGCTCACTTCCTGGATCATGCAGGAACCCTCCATAAACAGGACTGTGCATTCCTGTGTCACTTAGGAGCTCTTGTTTCAATGCCAGCCCGGCTTACAGAAGGCCCTGGTTCCCTCTGCAGCCCCATAGCTTGCAGGCCAGATGGGGTCCCAGCACGGAGAGGGGGGGGAGTGGGCCAGACTGGCCCCAGACTCAGAGATCTGCCTGTGCCTCTGCCTCTGGAGTTCACCACCACCAACCAGCAAGAGAATATTTTTTATATAGTACGTGTCCTATGTGCGTGTGTGCATGTGTGTGTGTATGTTGCACGTATGTGTGTGTGCTTGCCCGGGGGCACACGTATACACAAGCGGACCCACATACACAGATATGTGGGGACCAGAGGAAAAGCTACAATGTCAGCCTCAGGAACACCTTCCGTCTCCCTTGAGAAAGGGTCTGAACAGACTTGAAGCTCACTGATTAGGCTCGGCTGGCTGGCCAGCAAGCCTCAGGGCCTCCTCCTGTCTACCTAGTGCTAGAATCAAAAGCACTCCGGCCTTAGACAATGCTGTTATTACACAGGTGCCAAGGGTGGACCTGGGATCTTATAAGTTGGGCTATCACCTCATCCCTTGGGAAGGGTTTTGTTTCTGTTTGTTTTGTGGTGCTGAAAGCTGAATCCAGAGCCATGTACAAGAAAGCCTTCTACCACTGAGCTACCGCCCAAAGCTCTTTGGGGTAAATTTTCATACCTCCTGCAGGAGACATCTGGCAAGAAGATTTTTAGGAATCCCAGAACTTGCTCAAACAATCGCTGTCAACTGGCATAGTCCAGCCTCAGGACTCCAAATTAAAAACAGGTTCCCTTGTAGATCCCGGGGTGGGAAGATGTTGGCAGGAGGCTTCTGGTGGCCTCAGATAGATCTGAAGCTCCCTATACTGAAGCACCCTTTTGGGGCTAGATTGAGGTTATTTTATAGTGGGAGGGGTCTGTTGGCGAGCGCTGCCAAACTTGAGGAAAAGCCACATTCAGTGGGGGTGAAGGTGCACCCCAACCCCAGCGAAAGAACTGTGAGAAGAGGGGAAATGAAGGGTCAACCTCATGGTTTGGTTTGAGTGGCCTGGGATCACCAATGGAGGGAAAGTACCTTGCTCTTATCTGAGTCTGTTACTTCAGAGGCCTTTGACCCTAAACCCTGGGGAGGCATCTTGTGTACACATGCACACACATGATTCTGGGTTTCCAGAATCTAAGGCAGCAAGTCCGCAATCTAATCTACCCCCAGGAAAACAGCAAACGAAGGTGCGTCCAGTTCCCTCCAGGGGGCGCATTTCTCTAGCATTCAGAGCAGTGTTCTGTTCTCAGACAGCCATCTTGCCAAGTTTATCAGGTGGAGGAATGGAAAAGGAAAGACCGGGATTGGTGGCTGCTCCGGTAATAGAACGCTGGGATCTTCTCTGGGATGATGAGCTAAGCCCTCCGTAGCTTTTTTCCTCCCAACACAGAACAAATGAGAACAAGTTGCATTTCTGAAGGTGGAGGAGTCCCTTTCATTTTTCCAGATTGTGACATGACTGTTTCTGTTTCCATGCTAGGAGACCCAAGGCTGTGATGTTGGGATGGGTGGGCAGGCTTCTCCTCACCTTCTGAAGGTCAGAAGCCTCTGACTCCACTCTCCTCCTTCTCCCTCTTCCCACCCTTGCATGGCTTTGTCCTGTGCCGTGGTTTTAACCACCTCCTGACAGCCTCTCTGTCTGGCTTCACAGTGCATCTGTTATGTGCACAGTCCCAGGGGTAGGGCTGTGGGAGGGACATCAAGAGGGCAAACCTGGGGAGAATCAGAGGCTAGGGGCATTCCTGGGTTCCCCGGAGAACCCTGTGTCAGGGTAGAGGGTTGCTCTCTATTATTCTTAGACTATCTTTGTACCCTGTTTTCTCAAGGAATACTGTAATGAAATTGTGGGGAGGGCGAGTTTGCCCTTTTTCACACCCACAGGACTTACACAGGTAGCTGTCACTATGAGACTGGGGGGTCCCTCACTGTGGCCTCATGAGAAAGTCTGATGTTGCTAGTACCAGACACAACTTGATTGGTTTAGAATCTTTTTTTTTAATTTATTTAATTTTATGTGCATTAGTGTGAAGGTGTCAGATCCAGCAGAATTGAGCATTACAGACAGTTGTGAGCTGCCATGTGGGTGCTGGGAATTGAACCCAGGTCCTTTGGAAGAGCAGACAGTACTCTTGACCGCTGAGCCATCTCTCCAGCCCCCTGGTTTAGAATCTTTTAGAAAATGGTTTTCGGTTCAAAACGATGGCAGATTCATGGCAAAGCTGGTCTTAGAGATCCTGTGTATCCTTCACCCACTTTCTCTCAGGGTTCCATGTTACATAACGACGGGAATTACAAAGGATATCAAAAGCAGGAAATTGACATTGCTATCTGTGCACATACAGTACAGTCCTGTACTGTTTTTATCACATGTAGATTTGTGGGGACACCGCCCACCTAAGGATATAGAAGTGTTTGCCACCCCACGAAGAATCCCCTTGTGCCAACTTGCTGAGGGTCTCATCCTCTGACCATTGCCCCTAACCCCCAGCGTTGATCTCTTCTCCGTCTCTCTGATTGTATTGCTTCAAGGATGTTCTATGAATGAAGTCATGTAACAGGTGACCTTTTGAAAATCAGCTGTTTTCACTCAGAATAATGCATTTGAGTTCCATTCCATCTAAACTGTTAGATGGGGAGAGAGTTGGTTCCTCTTTACTGCTGAGTACTATGCCAGGATGTTGGTGTAATGTACATCACTTACACATGTTCATTTACTGAAGGGCGTTTGGCTTATTTCCCACTTGGGCCTAGTTCAGATAAACCTGCAAGAGTGATTGTGTGTACAGGCTCTTGTGTGGACATAGCTTTTGCCGGGTGGTGTGGTCGTTGGACGATGATACTTTGAAAAAGGA